GGGAAATGAGCTAGATTTTGTTGGGACTCCACTTCATCCATGTTCATTGCCATCCATACTCATTGGATCTGATGGGAGTTGTAGTCCCAAAATAGCTGAGGGTCACAAGTTACCCACACAGTTGTCCATAGTGCTTGTGGAGGAGGAACACCCAGATTCTTTCCCAGCAAATTTTTTTAAGGCTAGAGATCACAAACAATGTCTAAGAAAAAGTCTGTGTGTAATTTCCTAGTCGTATTCTAGAGACACAAACATTATTGTTATTAATTTTCACTATGTATAAAGCATTTTAATTTATTAAATATTTGGGTTTTTTAATACCCTGTTCCTCAGTCCTCCACGCAGTTTACAGATCAGGTTTGCTTTTTAATAAAAATTTCCTGCCTTCAGGCTTACAGTCTAAAAGACATTACATGAAAGGAAAAATTGGAGGGGAGGGCAGAAGGGAAAACTAACAGCAGCTTTACTTAACATTATAAAGTTCTTATAAGGAGCCATTGGAAAAGAGAAAATGGTAGAATAACCGACAGCCCTATATTCCATCTCTCCCTTGCTACAGCTAGATTGAATGGCTGCCACCATATACAGAAAGAGAATTAAAGGCAGCTGCTGTCTCAGGACAGCTGTTGAAACATTATTTTCAAGTGTTCAAAGCATTCCTTGTTGCAACAGGATCTTGTTGCAAACCTTGGAGCTTCTATGTAGGACAGGTCAGTATTCTGTTCAGAAGGAAAATGGACAAAACCTAGGAGGAGGTTACTTTTAGACTACAGCCCCCAGAATCCTCCAGCCAGCATGGCCACTATCCATGCTGGTTGTAGTCCAACAAAGTAATTTTTCCACCAAGGTTTGCTAGTGCATAGATGATATAACTCCATGCAGAACTTCGACCCCTCTGTGGTCATCATTGCAAATAGGGTCCAGCCCTGCTATTAGGTACACTGAAAAAACTGCTGCAGACAACAGATGTTTGGTATCATGGAAAGTAAAAAAAAATAGTAATTTTTTTAAAACTGAAGAGACCCCAATTCAGGTGGGTAGGAATTAATTGTGAGTACAACAGCAACAATTATACAACACATAGAGCCAGCATGTAGTGGTTTGAGCGTTGGACTACGACTGTGGAGATCCAGATTCGATTCCCTGTTCAGCTTTGGAAACCCATTGGGTGAACTTGGGTGAGTCACAGACTCTCAGCCCCAGAAAACTCTGTGATAGATTTGCCTTAGGATCGTCATAAGTTGGAAAGAACTTGATGGCTCACAACAACAACAGCAAACGGCAAAGTCTGCAGAGATTAGTACTATAAATACATGGGGGAAGACACGTCAGCATTGTTATATATCCGGCCAGTCTCTTGGTTATTTCTCAGATCGCCTGTTCATTTGATTCTCTTGGGCTGTAGGTGGAAATAGTTGAGCCAAGCCTGGCACGGCTCGGAAGAGCTGGGAAGTAGGATCACAGGCATTACTTTGGCGCAGATAGCACAGAAAAGCTGTCCAAACGAAGGAACAGGCACCCACATAAGCTGTGCGCAGCATTGGTGGCACAAGAGTAAAATTCACTGCCTGGTGAAAGGGAGAGAAATGGGAACATCAACATTTTGGTTGAAGCGTAATTTCTAGAATGATGGCCACTGGCAAGATTTGTTCAGAGGAGGTTTTGTCAATGCTTTTCCCTGAGGCTGAGAGAGTGTGACATGCTCAAGTGGGTTTCACGAACGATCTGGGAATCAAACCCTGGTCTCCAGAGCTGCAGTCCAATGTTATCGGACTGTCCACTAGGAATACCTAGGTGTGTGAAGGGGGAAGTTTGGAGAGGTACTAAAATAGGGTGCAGAAGTTGGGACCTTCCAAATGTCATTGGACCCCAACTCCTATCAGCCACAGCCAGCATGGCCAGTGGTCAGGCATGATGAGAGTTGTAGTCCAGCAGCTTCTGGGGGAGTTAACAATTTCCCCAGCCTTATCCTGAACCTGAAACTTGTAGACTAGCTATGTTGGCTTATCTGTTGCTGAATGTGCCTTCAATCTCCTGCAGTTTATTTCTGTGAGCTGTTCACAGTGTGACATTTTAAGAGACAGGCAGAGTTTGAAAAGG